TTGCTGTTCATCCTGCATCAAACATGAAATTATACTTGGGTTTGTTTTGGGGGAATGTAATCCTTTACTAAATTATAAATTGATGTTCTGTTACCAATTTACTTGGACCCATAAGCACTATGTAATTAGAACTGTGCCTGAATGTTGATGATCTGGGTTTTTTTAACAAGAAAAGAAGTGAATTAGTCATTTTCCTTCATCATGTGTATGCACATGTAGAGTAGGAAGCATGGCCAATATAGGAGGATCATTTGGTTTAATACAGTGTTACATTAGCAACAGAGTATGTGTGGAAACCAGTTTTATAAATGTAGTTAATAAGCTTCTCAAAGCAAAAGGTATTTATACCTGCTGTATATTTGGATGAGGACTAAAAATAATTGGAAATATCAGCCTACTGCATTTGTTTCAAGGCTAGACAGGATATCCTATTAGATATCCTGTTAACAAGTGTAAACTGGTGGCACTGTTAAAAGAGAAAGTCAGAGACCTGGAGCTTTGAGTAGCCACACTCAAGGCTATAAGGGAAGATGAAGTATACATTGATATAACTCTTGAGCAGCAGCAGCTGTCAGAGGGGGCACTGGTGATGGAAGAAAAACAAAGCATTACAGTGGAGGAAAATGCTGTAGAGGCTACAAACATAGTGGAGGAACCACCATGGAAAAGAACCACAGTTAGAAACAAAAGAAGAAGACACTCTTCCTCAGTGGAGCTATAAAACCACTTTCAGTTACTTAAAGAAGATTCAATTGGACAGCATGCAGAGGAGACCACACAGGAAGACATGAGTAGGGCTGAAGCACAGCAGAATATAGTCATTGAACCCACACCCTACAAAAATAAGAAGAGGAGAATAGTTGTAGTAGGAGACTCCTTACTACATGGAATTGAGACTGAAATTTGCCAGGACAATCCAGGGACTCGCCAGATATGCTGTCTCCCTGGAAGACAGATAAGGGATGTGATGGAAGGATTGCCATCACTCATAAACCCTAAGATACATATCCCTTTCTTCTTGTCCATGTGGGAACAAATGACACAGCCAAGAGGAGCTACTGAGAAATCACATCTGACTTTGAAGCTCTGGGAAAGAAACTCAAGGACTTTGGGGCCCAGATAGTTTTTTTTTTTCTTCCATCCTACCAGTGCTCGGAAGAGGAATCGAAAGAGAAAGGAAGGAAGATCCTCTGGGTGAATAACTGGCTATGAAGGTGCTGTCAACGAGAGGGATTTGGTTTTTGGGACCACAGGCTAAGCTTCCTGAAAGAAGGATGGCTAACAAGAGACGGCTTGTATCTAAGAAGGACTGGGAAGAATGTATTTGCCCACAGCATGGAGAACTTCATCAGAACGGCTTTAAACTGAATTTGGAAGGGAGAGGGAGACTCAAGCACAGAGTAAAGGGTAGATGAAGCTTACACACAATAAGAGGAATGGACTAAAATGATCAAAAGGGCAACAATTATAACATTAACCGTAATAATCACAATAATAAACATAACAATAATCATAATAATCATCATCACAGGATTCATAACAATGTATGAAAACAAACAGGCCACAAATCACACGCACTCCAGTGTCTGTATACAAATGCCAGGAGTATGGGAAACAAACAAGAAGAACTAGAAATTTTAATTCAGGAGAGTAAGTATGACTTGATAGGAATAATTGAAACTTGGTGGGATGACTCCCATGACTGGAATATCGCAACTGAGAGATATAAACTGATAAAAAAGAACAGAAAGGGAGGTGGAGTTGCAGTATATGTCGAAAATATGCATTCCTGCACAGCAATACAGGAGTAGGAGAGTGGCTGTCCCATCAAGAGCATCTGGATCAATCTAGTTGGGGCAAAAAACAAAAGGAACTTGGTAGTTGGAGTCTACTACCGACCGCCCAACCAAAGAGAGGAGGTGGACCAAACTTTTGAAAAGCAAATTGCACGGTTTTACAAAGAGACACAATGTAGTAGTGATGGGAGATTTCAATTATCCAGATGTATTTTGGGGGGATTTGGCAAATTCTGCCAAGGATGACCCTTCCAAGAAATTCCTGACTTGTGTGGCTGATAATTCTCTCCTACAAAAAGTGGGACGGGAAAACTAGAGGATTTGCTATATTTGACTTAATTCTGACCAACAGAGATGACTTGGTGGGGGAAGTGGCAGTAAGGAGAATTCTAGGCAAGAGTGACCATGTCCTTCTAGAATTCTTGATTTCAAAGCTAGTTTTAATAATCTCAGAACAAGGATAAGTAAGGTCCTATGGCAGGAGATGCTAACTATGGAGATGGAAAAATGATAACAGATGACAAAGAAAAGGTAGAGGTGTTAAATTCCTATTTTGGTTTAGTCTTTCCCATAAGACAGACTATGAACTTCCAAACAGATTGGATGTGCAAATGGGGTGGAGGGCAGGATTTCAGCTGGAGATAGATAAAGAAATAGTCAAGGAATACCTTACCACCTTGAATAAGTTCAACTCTCCAAGGCCGGATGAACTGCATCCAAGAGTACTGAAGGAACTGGCTGAAGAACTCTCAGAACCACTATCCATTATTTTCTTGAAAGCAGTCATTGTGCACACATCTAGAAAGTAATGCAGTAATAACTAGAAGCCAACACAGGTTTGTCAAGAACAAACCCTGCCAAAGTAATTTGATCTCATTTTTTGATCAAGTCACCTCCCTGATATGGGGACGTGGTGGTGCTGCGGGTTAAACCGCAGAAGCCTCTGTGCTGCAGGGCCAGAAGACCAGCAGGTATAAGATCGAATCCATGTGACGGAGTGAGCTCCCATCGCATGTCCCAGCTCCTGCCAACCTACCAGTTTGAAAGCATGGAAAAATGCGAGTAGATAAATAAGTACCACCTTGGTGGGAAGGTAACGGCCTTCCGTGTCTAGTTGCACTGGCCACATGACCACGGCAACTGTCTTCGGACAAACGCTGGCTCTATGGATTGGAAACGGGGATGAGCACCGCCACCTAGAGTCAGATACAACTGGAGGGAATGCTGTACATGTAGTATATCTTGACTTCAGCAAAGCTTTTGACAAAGTGCCCCATGATCAACTGATTAGCATGCTAACTATATGTTGGCTAGATAGATCAAGTGTCAGGTGGATACATAATTGGCTACAGATTCATACTCAGAGGATGATGATTAACGTGTCCTTCTCTAACTGGGAGGAGGTAACTAGTGGGATACCCCAAGGTTCAGTCCTGGGCCCCGGTGCTCTTCATTATTTTTATTAATGACTTGAATGAGGGAGTGCAGGGAATGCTTGCCAAATTTGCTGATTATACCAAATTTGGTGGAATACCCTAGAGGACAGAAACAAAATTCAAAATGACCTTGATAGGACAGAACACTGTCCTATCAACAGGGATAGCAACAGAATGAAATTCAACAGGGATAAGTGCAAAGTACTGCACCTCAGAAAAAGAAACCAATTGCACAGTTACAAGATGGGGGATATTTGGCTCAGCAAAACTACGAACGAGAAGGATCTTGGAATTGTCATAGATCACAAGCTGAATATGAGCCAGCATTGTGATGTGGCTACAGAAAAGGCAAATACTAATTTTAGGCTGCATTAATAGAAGTATAGTTTCCAAATCCCGTGAGGTGCTAATTCCCGTCTATTCATTACTGGCTAGGCCTCACCTTGAGGATTGTGTCCAATTCTGGACACCACATTTCAAGAAGGATGCTAACAAATTGGAACCCGTTCAGAGGAGGATGACAAGGATGATCAGGGGGCTGGAAACCAAGGCTTATGAGGAAAGGCTGAAAGAATTGGGCATATGTAGCCTTGAGAAAAGAAGACTGAGGGTGATATGATAGCACTTTTGAAATATTTAAAAGGCTGTCATACAGGGGAGGGGCAAGATCTGTTCTCCATCATCCCAAAGTGCAGGATATGCAACAATGGGCTCAAGTTAAAGCAGGCCAGATATCAGTTGAATATCAGGAAAAGCAGTACGACAGTGGAACCAGTTACCTCGGGAGTTGGTGAGGCATTCAAGAGAAACATAGATAATCACCTGGCAGCTATGCTTTGATTTTATTCCTGCATTGAGCAGGGGGTTGGACTTGATGGGCTTGTGTTCCCCTTCCAGCTTCACTTTTCTATGATTCTATGATCTTTCATTTTCCCCATACATTTTGAAAACCAGCAGCATTATTTGAAGGTGCAAATGCTGCTCGAGAACTAAGATTTCTCTCCTCAACACAAATGCGTAACTTCTTTATTTTAAACTAGTGCCCAAGTGACTTTCTTGCTTTTCCACCCAATTTTAATATTCTTTGAAATAAGTAGTATACTTTGAAAATACAGGCTTTGTAGCAGCTTCATTTATTTGCCAACCAGGGGGCCAGCTAACCCCATAGGAGATGACAAAAGCATTCAACATGCTAGTCAAGAAAAAAGAGGTTCTTAATCATTAGGTATAGAAATTTGTGTCTATTTTCAGAGCGAAGTCAATTTAAATCCTTGTCACTGCCAACAAGAAAATTTAAGTTTTGTATGATACCACTGAGATACCAGCCTGAAATTTGGATCAACTGGTTTCAAGACATGTATCCTCAAGTGTGAATTTTTTGAAAACTTTAAAAAAAATCCGTTTTCCCAAAAACTCAGATTTTAAATTGGTTTAAATGTGTAAATTTTTTTGAAAATATATAATTGCATCATGCTGCACATCAAATGAAAGCTATCATAGGTATCTTTTAAATGACATTTGAAGTTATGGTGGCTAGTGAATTTTATCATTTTTTTGCAATTTTGAAAATGCAATATCTCAGAAACGGGTGAACCAAAAAATCTGAGGAAAAATATTTTTAAACATCTCATGGTAAGGTACAAATGAACCAAATCCTTGACATCAAGTTCCAAAATGGATTTTTCATTGGTTGATTTGACCCATATGAGCTTGTTGCTGGTATTGATTTTAATAATAATCAATAATTTTGTGTGTTGCTTTGACTCAGGTCTACAGTGAATACAGAGCAAGCCTTGCATTTGACCTTGTTAGCAGTCGACAGAAGAATGTAAGTAGTAAAATATAAGTAGTCTGTTTTTACACCAATTAGTGCTGGTATTTAGAATGTGGAGCATATTTGTTTATAACATTTCCACGTTTTAAGTAAGTCTTACTTTGCTCTTTTGTGTAGAGAATGAAAAGAATGTATTCAGGTTTAATTACAATAGGACCTCCTTATCCATGGGATCAGTATCCACTAATTCACTTAACCACATGGAAAAAACTAAGTTGTTGTTATCAAAACTGACCACTAGAGGGAACCAAACATTTTGCTATATAGGCAAACTGCTACAATTTTATATTCGCGAAGGCTACAATTTTGCCTAATCTCCCAGCAGCTTCCTGTATGTTCCAGAGCATCATCATTGTAAAACTTAGAACTGGATTGACTGGCGAGGCAGAAGTGTTGTTGACCTAAACCAAACTGCCACCAGGGATCGGTTTCCTACCTCTTGCCCTTCCTCAGCACTCCCGGGGAAACAAGGAAATGCATTCTTAATTGTCTTTGAAGAAGAAAACCCACAGAGCCATTGTGATTGTGTGTATGTGTGTGTGTGTGTGAGAGAGAGAGAGAGAAAGAAAGAAAGAAAGAAAGAAAGAAAGAAAGAAAGAAAGAAAGAAAGAAAGAAAGAAAGAAAGAAAGAAAGAAAGAAAGAAAGAGAAAGGGGTGACAAAGATGGTTATCTTCAATCTTCAGCATGTAGAGGAATGAGAGAAGATTTTAACTCTCCTTACTCATAGAGGTACCATCAAGATAAAAATTACAAGTATAGTGGAGTCTTGGGTCCAACAGACTGCTAGCTGTAATATATGCTTTTCAGTATCTACGGGGAACCAATCACCTGCAGATATGGGGGGCTTCTGCAGATTAATCTGAATTCTGCAGATTAATCTAAATTCTGCATTAAAAGCAATTTGATATCTTTCTTAAAACATACTTGCAAATATATTTCTTTGAAGCAACCAAGCCTTTGCTGCTATAATGTGAGCTGACTTGATCCTCCTTTAAGTAAATTTAAATTGCATTTATTGCACAAACATATACTTGCTTATGAGGATAGTTTTGCCAATGCAAAGGAAATATTTGTCAGACAACATTTAGAGGTACTCTGTGCAATCTCTCCTACAAGCCACACCTAAAGACAGACCTATAGGGCAGATTACAGAAGCCTGTATATTTATAGATGACAAAAGTTTTCTAGATTTTTCAGAGCTGATATTATCCCAGTAAAGAGTTAATACCAGGATGAAATCAGATAACCATTGACAAGCATTTCAAAATTCATCTGGGTATCTTAAGTACAAGTATTTTCCTTGTTGCAATAATTCCAGGCAACTTCCAAACTTATTCATTTTTCAAGCTTTATTTATCCACATTGCTTCGCTGTTTCGTAAGAATAACATGAAATCCAATAATATCGAAATATTGTAGGCCCCTTCCAATATTTTTTACAAATATAAACAAGACATTCCCTGTCTGTGGCTTCACTCTAAAATAGGAATGGGCAACTGTGACATTTACTGTTGTGGCCCCTACTTGTTTTTCCCTCTCAGAGGCTCACATCGTGTTTTCTTCTCGCTGCCACCAGTGGATTACTTCAATCCACAATTTAAATGCTGTATGTCAGAACACTTGTCTTGTGAACAGAAACATAACTTATTTATTGAAGTGAAGCAGATTGAATAATAACAGAAGTTTCTCAGATACACAGTATACATAAGCAATTCATCAACAGTTCTCTCAGTACATACTTCTTTTCTCTTGCAATACAATTACCATCTTCTCTACCTATTTTCCTAATCAACTCTATCTCTCTGATTAATCCTATCTATCTCAGTATATGTTCCCTCTCTCTCTAACCAGCCATATCTCTATCAGTATCTCATCCCAATCTCTATCTGACTCTCTCTCTATCTGCCTCATATATTCATTGACTCTGCCCCTCCAGTTCTCTCATAGGCTCATGCAAATAACCTTTTAAGCTTAAGTGGTAGGAGTGAAAGGGCCAGTCGCCACAGCAACTTTGAGGGATTTAAGGGCCAGTATTCTGTCCATGGAGTCCCTGACTGGGGGTGGGCGGGGGCGTCCCACCAAAAATACCTCAAACTAAGAAGAATGAAACTGGAAGCAGCCAGAAATCAGCTTCCACTTTTGGTTGTGGGGTGTGAAATATATGTGAAACCCTGCAACCTATTTAAAAGGCAGATTTCACCTCCTGGATGCTTCCAGGAATGACAGCCCATCATTTTTTTCCAGAGGCAGATCAGGACTAGATAAATAGCATCGAGGCTCATCATTTTTGTTGCACTGCAATCTAAAATAAGGACAGAGGGCTGAATTAGAAAGGACTACTATTATCTAACATACTAGTCCTTTCTAATTCATATGTGATTATCTTTAGTGGAACTTGTTCTGTTGCTTTTATTTCTTACTTAAATTGGGTTCATTTATTTTCCCCTAGGCATACACAGACTACAGTGATTCTGTTTCAAGAAGAATGGGCTTTATTCCTCTCCCTTTAGCAGTTTTAGTAAGTAATTTCTTTGTTATACCTGTGAAAACTGGTGAAAAAATTTACAAAAGTGTAAAATATTTAAATGAGTGTTTAAAGGTTTGGAATCATCATCATAGAACTATACCGCTGGAAGGGACCTTATGGATCATCGAGTCTAGCTACTTTCAAGGAAGCACTGTGGGGAATTAAACTCCCAACCTCTGGCTCTGCAGCCAGATATCTAAACTACTGAGCTATCCAGCAGTTCTAGTATCTTTGTAGAGAGAAAAATATGTGACTCAAACACAGAATATACAGTCTACGCAATACAGTGCTAGGTAAAAGTGACATGAATTTACAGTATTTAACTAGTTTTCAGAAGTGAGATGTCTTTGTGGACTTTAGGGCACAAATTTTTTAAGCTGCTTAATATTGTTCTCAATTTAATCTCACCTGAGGATCGTGATCTGAGAATAAGGAAATTGAATACCGTATTTTTTGGTCCATAAGATGCACTTTACCCCCCCAAAAAGTGGGGGGAAGTGTGTGTCTTATGGAGCAAATACACTTCTGCAAGGGCTCCCTCTGATGTCAGGGGAAAGCCCTTGGAGACCTCCTGGGGGTCTGATCACGGTGGCAGGGCACCCCCAGGAGGTCTCCGATGGCTTTCTCCAAGCCATCAGAGACCTCCTGGGTTTCCCCCGAGATTCGAATTTCCTGCCCTTTCCCCCTGCCTTTTTGCCTTTGCGGTGGTGGGGGACCCCCAGGAGGTCTCCGATGGCTTCCTCCAAGCCATCAGAGACCTCCTGGGGGTCCCCTGCCACCACAATAAAACCCCCAGGAGGTCTCCAAGGGTTTTCCCCCGACATCGGAGGGAGCCTTGCAGACCTCCGAAGGCAAAAGGGCAGGGGAAAAGGACGGGAGATTCGAATTTCCTGTCCTTTCCCCCTGCCTTTTTCCCTTCGCGGCGGCGAGGAATCCCCACGAGGTCTCCGATGGCTTCCTCCAAGAAAGATTCGATGTACCATATTTTTTGCTCCATAATTGGGTGCGTCTTATAGTCAGGTACGTCTTGTGGAGCAAAAAATACGGTATTCCATAAAGTTGGCACTAAAATGGTTAAAAGCAGAACCTCATAGAATTGTGCTTATAAAGAACACAGGTGCCAGGATCCTGGTGCAGAAAAGCATAGAGGGGAGCATTCTAAACTAAGCAGCTGTTGCACTCCCCTGTTCCATGATATAATTTGCAAAGAGGCATGTGGGAGCTATTGTGATAGGTGGAAACCACAATGATGTGCAGTAATTTATAGATTTTTATCTGAAGAAGCTCCACTCTGGGCCAGTGTAGATGTAACTGTATGATTCATTTTATTATGTTTAAGAGACCGCATGTTTCTCACTCTTGGCCTTAACTAGCCTCACATGTAAATCCTTCCACTCTTTGTCCACCTTACTTTGATACTTGCCTTAACGAAAACTGTCTCTTACCAAAGTGTTGCTAGCCACCTTCATACAGTGGGCTTTGTGATCCTGGGCTGATACCTCAGGGCACTGAGGAACATTTGTGTATGAAAAAAGGAAGGGCTATACAGACCCCAGTCCACTTTTAAGAGTAATATAATGCTGAAAACCATAGTTAACTATAGAAATACATGCTAAATATCACAAATAAATTTCAATGCTTAAAACCATTTTTATTCTTCCTTGATACTGCTTATTCCTTTCTTTGTAAATTTTGTTAGAGTATCTCCCTACCCTTTTAACAAATGTTTCTCCCTGCAGCTTATCAGAGTTGTTACAAGTTCAGTAAAAGTACAAGGAGTCTTGTCTTATACCTGTGTTGTCCTCTTCTATTGTGGGTAAGTGCAAACCAAACCTAATCTATGCAAACTTTACCTCAGTTTATGCTAATAATTAACATGTAAAATTATATAGAAGAATAAACCCAGGATTTTGACGTTATTTTGAAATTGACAAGATACATTTCTGGGTCACGGTGGCAATGAGAAACTTTCCCCCACCTGTTAGGTTTCTCAAAGAGAGATACACTGTATTTTACATTAGCACTTGCATCTAAAAATATTTTTTCTGAAGGAGATATTGATCATTATTGATCTAACATTGAAATAAGCCTGGTTAGGATTATAGCCTTGTCTCATTTCGAATGTATGGCTTGGATCTAGATTTAATCAAGGTTTCAAAAAGATCTTGTAACATATAGATAGAAATGAGCTACATCTTCATATATTTACACAGAACCACTGTCTGTTCGATGCCAAATTTAAATATGGCAGTGCTGTATTTATACAGCATAGTATGTAGATATTTCTTTTCTCTTGAAATATTTGTTTTGGGTTATCAAGTAAATAATCAGCATGTCCTCAGTGCCTCTAAATAATGCTCAGTTTTGCACTACTGCTTTCAACATGTTAAAAATTCTTCAGGCATAATGTTCAGGTGCTCAAATCTGGGGAATTAATGGCTCATTTCATTATAGAACTTCCTTTAATTTTAATTTTTTTTCTTACTAGTAAGTACAGTGGTGCCTCGCTTAGCGATTGCCTCGTTTAACGATGTATTCGCTTAGCGATGAGGTTTTTGGAGCAATTTTGCACTCCGTTTGGCGATGTTCCCTATGGAGAAAATTCGCATAGCGAAGTTCGGGACCTTGCCTCACTTAGCAATGACAGCTTTAGATCCCCTGTTTCGCTTAGCGATGTTCCGTTTTCACTATTTTTAAAGTGTCTTAAAAGGTTGAAAAATGGTTTTAAATGCTTGGGATCATTAGTGCACCTTCTAAAACCTTTGCAAACTTAATTTGGCTTTGTTCTGAGTCTTCGTTAATTTTTGGTGAATTGTTTTCTCCCCCATTGGAAAGCGTTGAACTGTCAGTTTGACAGCTGTCAAACGTGTCAGTTTGACAGCTTGACTGTCTTGACTAATTCTTAATATATTTTATGAAATAATCAGTATATTTGTGTGTGTGCATTATCACTGAATGAGAGTGCAATGATGTTACTGTGCAGAAGAGCAAATTACCATTCTACAAAGCAATTCTAAAAATGAAGCCAGCCCAAACAAAAAATTATAACATTGAAACTGAACTTCTGATCAGCATCAAGTTTGGCACAGGTGTAGCAGACAGTCTGCTCTTGATCTGTGCCAAATCTGGGGAGGTTTGTACAGGTTATTTTCAAGTTATGATTTTTAAAAAAATAAAAACCTTTTACCCACAATCCCATGCAGAAACAAGCAACCTTAAACATCCTCAAATTTAAAACAGATAAATAAATTGAAAAGACAATTCCTGCTTTTCTTTTGTTTTGTGTGTTTTGTTTTTTTAATTTGGAAGGAGTGCAGGCTGCAGGGGCTAAAATATTGATTCTCAGAAAGGCCTTTCAAAAGAGAAAAACAGTGATTTCGTTATAAACTGAGCACAGATAGAAAAGGCTCACCAGGAAGCATTCCAAAGTAGACACATTGTTCCAGCTTTGTGGCTTGAAGGGGAGATGTTTGGAGAGCAATTAATGATCACAGAAAGAGTCAAAAGAAAAGTTTTCTTTGAAAAGTCAAGAAATTAGGCTTACTTGCAATGGAGTGGCAGTCCTCCAGAAAGGACTATTTTGGCATATATTAGGATTAGCATACAATTTTGTAAAGGACATTCAGAATATTTCTGCATTACAAAAGCACAGAGTGCATATGTTTGTCCCAGACCTGAATGCTTTCAATAATTCTTCTCTCAGGATTTCTGAGACCAGGCTCCTCATACCAATCTGCAAAGGTAAAATGTGCTTCAGGTCTGGGATAATCTGGATTTTTGATCCTGTCAGTCAGGACACAATTGGCTGACTTTTAGGAGGAGAAATTTGTAACTTTTTCCTGGGCAAACAGGTATTGGTCCTGGGAAAGAGATTCTGTTTTAAATATTTTCAAATATATTTTAACAAGAATAAAGAACAAATTATGAAACTCACTTGTTTAAGGTGTGAAATTACTAGTTTTTCCATTGTGGCTTGGGCTGGTCTTATTCAATGTTAGCACAGCCTTGGTGTCTATATCATTTCATATAGACACCATCCATCTTGTCACAATCTGGTAATGAAGGGGGAAAAGTCCAGAAATGTTATGTGCCATCAAATCATTCCTTGTTGTTGTTGTTGTTGTTGTTGTTGTTGTTGTTGTTTAGATGTTTAGTTGTGTCCAACTCTTTGTGGCTCCATGGACCAGATCACGCCAGGCCCTCCTGTCTTCCACTGCCTCCCGGAGTTCGGTCAAATTCATGTTGGTTGCTTCGATGACACTGTCCAATCACCTCGTCTTCTTC